TCAGATACTGAAGCAGACCAGAAAATTCACAATTGCTGAAATCCCACATAGGATTTGTCATGATCCACATGCTAAACTGATGCAGTTCTACATCCAATACACCCTAAGCAAACAGGACAAGGGGAAAATGTACACAGAGGAGGAGGTGGCATTATAAAGAATATAATCTGGAAAATGGAGGAAGTAGCCAATCAGATGTTAATTTTAATTTTGTTTTATTCTCTTTCTTTTCTGGAGTTTTAAAAGAATTGTAAAGGAAGGTATAATTAAACAAGGTCAATTACCGGTAATAAACAATATGTCATGCATAATACAGTACCGGTATATTGTTCATTCTAACAGAACAAATAACATTGTGATGTATCAAACATCAGGGCATCTGCGTATTGTGAGACTAAGGGAAGGGTGATGGGCCGTTGATTCATGAAGTTATAAACCTAAATTCTAGCAGCTGGTAAGTAGATGATATGGCATAAAGAACAAGTGAGATTAGCTCACTGACAACTGATGGCCTTTACTAAGTACTGTAATAAGAAATTGGGCCAAGGTGGTCTTCATAAATAACAGATTAAAAAAAAAAAAAAAAACAACCAATCAGTCAACGTGATAAGAAACTTGTCATCAGATCCTTCATGGAAGTCAATCAGTTCTTCCAAAATGTACATATCTATTATAGCAAACCAATCTTTCAGGGTAGAAGAGTCCTGCAAATGCCAATAGAACAGTAAGAGGCCTTTAGCTGCATTCAGTAAACGCAGGATGAAAGACTTTTTATACATCGTAATCAAAGTATCCATGTTGTGGAACAAGCACACCCAAGGATTCACATAAATAGATACACCCAATTTGTTGAATTACTGGCATCATTTTGTCCAGGAGTTTTGGATCATAGGACAAGCCCATCACCACCACACATGAGCAAAAATACCAATGGCATTGCAACCCTGCCAGAAAAGAGGTGGTAGGTCTGGATTGTAGACATAGGCTTTTGATTGGGTAATATATCACTTTGCTAACATTTTTACTGTATCCCCGCAGTTTGAGTCTATTGAAGAGACATGGGCTAGTTTCAAAATGTATACTCTTTGGGGTTTGGTAAGTATATAAGCCAGCTCTTTTTCTCATTTCAACAAATACAATGGGCATTTAGGTTCTGCTAAGGAAATAATACTGTATATGTGAGAGATGCAGCAAGATGGACCAATTGGTGGGGCAAGTAGTCACTCAAATGGGAGCAGGTCTTTTGCAGAGCATAGCGGACGAAGAAGTAAATCTAAAATGGTGGAGCTGATGATATTTTACAGTAGTAAAAAGGAAAATGTCCCCCTTGATTTCAGAGGTCAGGCAAAGAGCATATAGCAGTTAGATAGGACATCCTGCAACTCGGGGTTTCTCAACCTTTTTTTCAGTCAAGGCACCCTTTAATATCCTCCACATTTTCAAGGCACCCCATTCTAAAATGTAGCTAAACGAATAGTTTTCCATAATGCAGCAATATCTACATATGTAGGACACACAGCATTAAAGGTGATTTATTCTTGCAAAGCTATATACCTTTGCATACTGGTACTTCTCCCTTACTCAGCTAAATGACCCTAGTGCCGATGGAGAGGGGCAGGAGAAGGAGCAAACAAAGATATAGGCCCCCTGACATCCTCCATATCAACCAATTACATCAGCGGTTGTTAGGAGTCCAGCAGCTGGCCCCCACAGTGCCCAAGGTTGTAATGCTGCACTTGCTGGCTTGTTGACAATTTTTGGGCAATTTGGGGAAATGTTTAGGCATTTTGCCAGGGCACCCCTGAAGAACCCAGAAGGCATCCTGGTTGACAAAGAATGCTGTAACTTAAGTTCTTTAGATTTGGACCAGTGCAAGAAAAAGGGGCGCTCTTTTCTGGGAGGAAGTAATTCATTTCTGAGTGAGATAAAGAGATGAGTTAAAAGCAGTCATGTTTTCTTTCTTTTGAAGCGTAAAAGCAGATAACCTCTAACACATATGGGCAATCATTCTACTCTACTCTCTCAATATCAAAAGAATGCTGTTTTGTATAGTCCATCCTTTGGTAGCAAATATATATTTAGAATGGGTCAAAAAAAAAAAAAAAGGTTTAGGCTAGGTTTTACACCTATGCAGTTTGCCTTTAATCAGTTTCTGCAGTGCTTTTGCAGTGCGCTTTGCATTTTAATAATTGGCCAACTTGTTGCTGGGCACATTAAAAAAGCAAAATGCATAAAAAATGCAACACAAATGCAGCAAACATGCACTACATGCATTTCTGCAGCGTCCCCATTGAAGTCTATTGAACATCTTGCGTTTAAAAAAGTACGACTGTTTCCAAAAATCACATCGGGTGAAAACGTGGAGATGTGAACATCCCATAGGAAATCATGTTAAATGGACTGTAGTGCGTATCTGCAAAATGCACAGCAAAACGCTTAGGTGTGAACCTAGCCTTCGAGAGTCTTTCAGGACTATGAAAATGATGACCATAAGCAATATGCTTAATAAAGTACATAACAAGTGCCTGCCCAGCTAAGGCAGAATGCAATTAGTAGACTGCATGCACACAATGTTTTTAATGCTGCTTTTAGGGGTGTCTGGCAGTTTTGGTTTCTTTTTTTCTGTCTGTAAATGCTCCTGCATGTTAGCCTATGTGTCTATGCACATATAGGCATTTAGAGGCGTGTTTAAAGGAAGAAAAAAAAAAACACTGCCAACACATCCAGGAGCAGTAGTGTCTTGGCAGAAAAAACGCTTGACATGTCTAACTACTTGATAACGCTAGGCACATTTAGCCCTTGATTGTTAACTAATTTCAATGGCCAGAATACATTATTATTCTGGCCATTTAAATTAATTATATAAAACCTCTTACACTGCACTTTAGTGATAAAATTAAACCATAAATTATCCAGCTGCATCAACAAAAAATCCAACCATGTGTCCAAACTCTTCTAAAAATATGTTGCACTGAATGAATAAACTTAAAAATCAGACACAGTGCAAAAATTGAGTGTCATATGAATTAAGTCCATATAAAGCCATACTAAAACGATAAAAATATATCATATAAGTTCATAAATCAATAAGAACTCTCGTGATTAAGTGTCTTCCTAAATCAATCCAGTGAACAGAGTATCCACCACCATCAAACACAGCCCTTTACCAGAAACACAGACCCCAATTAGGAGGTCTGCAATAGCATGAAGCTGTGTGTATTCCAATGCGTATTCCACTCCAAAGATGTTCAGGTGCTACGATCTCCTTTCCATCACGGAGTCCGTGCTGACAGCAGTCCCTGTGTCCTGGAGCCAGCACCAGCGGCGTTCATATATGCAAGTGTTTATAGCCCTTTTTGTAAACAGAACCTTGGATTTTTTTAAATAAAACTTTACTATGGAGATTCTCTTTCATGTTTAGAGCTAATAAAGATCAAGGCAAGGAGATCGTAGCACCTGAACATCTTTGGAGTGAAATACGTATTGGAATACACACCGCTTCATGCCTTTGCAGACCTCCTATCTGGGGTCTGTGTTTCTGGTAAGGGGCTGTGTTTGATGGTGGTGGATACACTGTTCACTGGATTGATTTAAGTAGATATTTAAAAGGGTTACTAAACTCAGGACCCTGCATTCATTATATCTGGTCTACCACAGTACACAGAACATGAAAGAGCAATTATTTTAGTAAATAAACTGCTAAATACCTTTTCTCATCAGCAGTTGGAGCAGTCTTGTGACTTCAGCAGAGCGCTGGTTAAAGCTTGTAGGGGGGAGATTTCTTTCTGGTCTAGGAGGATGCAAAACCCCTGACCTCTGTCTGGACAGTGCTGATTAGTCCTGTGCTGATCACATGCACTCTCCCAAGTAAAAAAAAAAAAAAAACCTCTCCAGCAGTACACACAAAACTGAGCATGTGACTACGGGTTCAGTCTGTCTATCTCTGAACAAGAGGAGGGGCAGAGAAAACAGGACCAAACACAGCTTTTTTTACACAATGCAGAGGATTAACCCCTAAGGTTCCACAGTGAGTATAACAAGCATGCTTTACTGCATATACAGACTGATTTTACTGTTATATGCAGACCTTATTGATTTATGAACCTATTTGATATATTTGTCACGTTTAAGTATGGCTTTCAATGAAATTAATTAAACACTGTCTATTAATGAGCCTAAATGTGTTTACAAGAATCAATTTTTTCTGCCAAAACACTCCTGCCAGGGGGAAAGGTGTCTAGGAGAGATGGCCCAACTCCCAATGTGCATGATGCCGTAGAATTCCATGAGAAAAAAACCCTTTACCTCTTGTGTTCTGGTGCCAGGACCTAGGTGCTGTATGGTGTCATGCAAGCTAAGGGTGCAGTGCACCTGACGAAGAATGTGGAAAGTATGCAGTAGAATAGGAGTTAACTGGTGTAAGGGGGTTAAGCTAGGTATTAGTTCAGTGATTTAACAATAACGGCACACTTTGGGATGATCATTTTACATGTTAGGTTAGAGATAAGTGTTGATGTAAAGGAGGATTAGGTGCTAGGGTGATAGTTTAGTAACCGTAAAAGTTTAACAATTCATTTTTAAAATCAGAGGGTCTGCAGGTTTCTTTTTCACTTGTTCTTAGGGCTGGCCCCACAAATGTATTGCCTATCAATGATTAAGAGCATGATGTGTGAACAGTGCTACCACTGTATTGATCTCTGCATCCAACAAATTACAGTACGGATCATAGAACTCTACATACTTCACAAACAGATGTCATGGATGAAGTGTCTGAATAAATTACACTCTGTGCTTCCCCATAGCAACCGGTCACTCCCTTGTTCTAAAATATTATAGCAAGAGCAAAAGGTGGCTAGGAGGAGAATAAAGATTGTTCTCCAATCATACGAGTCATACTGGAATCCCAAACCATTATCAGAACCATTTCCACAAAATAGAACAAGCAGCACCACCTAGTGGTAACAATCATGTTAGTACACCGCTTTGACAGATACACTTACCATCTTTATTGCTGATTATTGGCATGTTATGAACTGTTCGCAGCTTAAAGCAGGACCCAGTAAGTACCTGGAGCTCCAAAGAACTGAGTGCAAATGCTTGTAAATCTAAAATAAAAATAATAATATTATTCAGATTTGGGTAAAACATTTATAAAAAAGCAAAACTTTTTCAGAATATTCAGAGTAACAGAGATCTCGTCATACATATTACTAAAATGACCATAGATAGTATGTGATTGACGTAAACACCTTTCTTCTGCAGCTTCTGAATGGCTTCTCTCCACTCCGATCGCTCATAATCTGATGACAGCAGGAAGAGGTAGCTCTGAAATTAAGCAAATTAAATATTTAGTTACATGGAAGCAATATTGAGGGCAACACACACTTATCAATGACACATCATAGAACATTAAATGTAATTCTGCTACCAACTTCTTGCTATTAACCTACCTCTGTAACATAACTAATACCATCGGGAAAAGTCCAAAGCCCAGCGACACAGTCCCTAAGTCTACTCTTTTTTTTTTCTTAGTTTCATATGTCAGTTATGAAGATGCTATGCTAATATGAATATTGTCAGTTCACCCTGCTTCAGAAACAAAAATTGTTAGCAGTTGCATTCATCCCCTTCCAATCCGCCCCAGCACCCCTTTAAAAGAAGTATGGCCTTTGAAAAAAAAAATATGAACATTTATACTCACCTAGCTGCATGCAGCATTGATCCAACGCTGCATCTGTCTCCCGCCGGCTCTGCAGTGAGAACTGAGCAATCAAACACCACCGATCTACAAAGGATGGACCTGCCCTAAGAAGTTTACTTAAGTCTAGAAGCCCTGGCTTGAAATCTCTGAGTCCTTTTGGGGGGAAACCTCTCTATCTTAACGCTGTATGTATCTTTCAGGGTAGTCTTTGGTCCAATGGGACTGCATCTTTAGAAAGAGTTGTTGGTTCTTCAGGGGGAGAATGGCATAGGTAGGAGTATGTTTTATTGCTGTTCACCTATGGATACCCTGTATTGACTAATATTTTTCATTGGGCTTTGCATAGTCCATATGACCTGTACTACTTTGGCACCTTCGAGTTTTGTGTACATGGATAGTTACTTGAATCTAGTTCTTGTTCTTACAAAATCTCTTTTTTGTAATTGCAAAATCATTTAATAAACACCTACACACCCCCCACACCTACACACACACACCTCAGTTCTCCCCTCTGCTCTGCCCCTCCAGCACCCACAGGAGTGCTAGGCTGTTGAGGGGGCGAGAGCAGCTAGCTCAGGCTCTCATCGGCTTGCTGAGAGGCTAAACCAGGTGCCAGTCCAGGCTTCTGGGTAGATCCCAACCATATGGTTGGGATCTTTCAGAGCCTGGACTGGCTTGGCTGAGGAAAGTCAGTCAACAGTGCGCAGAGCGAACTGCACTCCTGTGCAGCCAAAAGAGTGCACTGCAGTCGTGTGATCCCCAGGAGTATAACCAAAATAGCTTGGACTATACCTCTCCTTTAAACAGTATGGAATGTCCAAGGGCAGGGGGAAGGATCAGGGATCATTTGACCACTGCCACCTCGGTCTTTGTACTTGGAGTGCACTCTTAGTGCATAAATACTGGCCGCCCAGTGACGCATACAGTATGTGCAGCATGTGGGCTTTAAAGCCCATCCTTTTGCCGCCGCACATATATGTTGGGTGGTGAGAAAGGGGTTAAAGATCTTAAGAGGTAATAATAAAAAATTGACACATTAAGGATCCTAGGCATAAAGTAGCAGTATTACCTTACCACGGCCATACCGCTGCTTTGGGAAAGAAACAAACTGCACATTCATAAACCACCAACATGTTTCTTTGTCTAGCATCAAGAGCTTCAAGCAGAACCAAAGTCTGCAGATAAGCACCCTCATCTTTCAGTAAAAAGACCATTAGATCCCTTGCAGGCCAATGATACAGTGAGGAACAGAAGTATTTGAACACCCTGAGATTTTGCAAGTTCTCCCACTTAGAAATCATGGAAGGGTCTGAAATTAAGTATTTGAACACCTAAGAAACAGCAAGAATTCTGGCTCTCAAAGACCTGCTACTGTGCCTTTAAAAAGTCCACCTCTACTCCACTCATTAATCTAACTTAGTAGCACCTGTCTGAGCTCTTTAAAGACACCTCTCCACCCCCCAGTCAGGCAGACGCCAACTACTACCATGGGCAAGACCAAAGAGCTGTCAAAAGACACCAGAGACAAAATTGTGGACCTCCACAAGGCTGGAAAGGGCTACGGGGCAATTGCCAAGCAGCTTGGTGAGAATAGATCAACTGCTGGAGAAATTGTTAGAAAATGGAAGAGGCTAAAGACGACTGTCAGTCTCCCTCGGACTGGGGCTCCATGCAAGATCTCACCTCATGGGGTATCACTGATGATACCCCATGAGGAGGAATCAGCCCAGAACTACAAGGGAGGAGCTGGTCAATGACATGAAGAGAGCTGGGACCACAGTTTCAAAGGTCACTGTAGGTAGAACACTACGCCGTCATGGTTTCAAATCATGCATTGCACGGAAGGTTCCCCTGCTCAAATCATCACATGTCCAGGCCCGTCTGAAGTTTGCCAATGACCATCTGGATGATCCAGAGGAGGCATGGGAGAAAGTCATGTGGTCAGATGAGACCAAAGTAGAACTTTTTGGTCTAAACTTCACTCGTCGTGTTTGGAGGAAAAAGAAGGATGAGTTGCATCCCAAGAACACCATCCCTACTGTGAAGCATGGGGGTGGTAACATCATGCTTTGGGGGTGCTTTTCTGCGAAGGGGACAGGATGACTGCACTGTATTAAGGAGAGGATGAATGGGGCCATTTATTGTGAGATTTTGAGCAACAACCTCCTTCCCTCAGTCAGGGCATTGAAGAAGGGTCGTGGCTGGGTCTTCCAACATGACAACGACCCGAAGCACACAGCCAGGATAACCAAGGAGTGGCTCCGTAAGAAGCATATCAAGGTTCTGGAGTGGCCTAGCCAGTCTCCAGACCTAAATCCAAAAGAACATCTTTGGAGGGAGCTGAAACTCCGTGTTGCTCAGCGACAGCCCTGAAACCTGACAGACCTAGAGGAGATCTGTGTGGAGGAGTGGGCCAAAAATCCCTGTTGCAGTGTGTGCAAACCTGGTCAAGAACTACAGGAAACGTTTGACCTCTGTAATTGCAAACAAAGGCTTCTGTACCAAATATTAACACTGATTTTCTCAGGTGTTCAAATACTTATGTTCAGCAGTGCAAGACAAATAAATTCTTTAAAAATCATTCAATGTGATTTCCTGATTTTTTTTTTAAATTCTGTCTCTCAGAGTGGGAATGCACCTACAATGTGAATTTCGGACCCCTCCATGATTTCTAAGTGGGAGAACTTGCAAAATCGCAGGATGTTCAAATACTTCTGTTCCTCACTGTATATTCTCCCTGGGTCTCTTTCTGAGTGCTGGGTCTGCGGCCTCTTGATTTGCTGGTGGGGGATGATATGAATCCTACATGTGTGCATGGAACCCAGAAGATTGTGAACAGGCAAGTAAGTTTATCTTATAGCAAAAGAGTCAAGGCATGACTTCTGCAACACAGAGCCTGTATGCAAATATTTTATTGTAGGTTTAATTCCATTTTATCTGTCCGTTGAGAGAATGGGTCTCCTTGGCCATAAAAACCAGATCATCCTACTATACTGTACCAGTACCATGAAAAGGATATTCTGATAAGTTGCTATGGGCAACAAGTCACCTAAATCATGACACAAAGATTGGGTAAAATAGGAAGTGTTCTCATTAGTGACATGACTACAGATCTGAAGGAGGAAATGTACAGCAGTTTCTTAGCTTTTATTCACTTTCTTACAAACCTGCTAGCTGTATCTCAATAAAACAACATGTGGCCTGTAAAAGGAATTATTCCTTTGAAGACTCGGCTTTTAAAGCAATATGTCCTTGTGATTTGGATTCAAAGGCAAAAAGTGGGTTTAAAGCCAAGTTAGTAGAAGATGTGGAGTGGAGTTCACACAGCTCCCACGCACTTTTTCCCTGGGCAGCCTGACTCACTGCTCACATCAGACGCTGCAGAATTCCCCTTCTGGCATCATCCGCTCCATATCGAAATGTTCAAAGTATGCAAATAACCATGGCTGCCTCCCCACAATCCCCTAGTGGGAAAGCCAAAGCGGATTCCCACTTCTATCCCTTATGCAACTACGTCTCCCAGCAGAGACCACAAAGCTGCCAGCTGCAGGCAGTCCTGGCCCACAGCTCACCTTGCCATTCTTGTTGTGAATTCTGAAAGGGATGGTAGGAGAAAACAGCAGAAGCCAGGATTCATATTCAAACATCTTTTTCTTCAGTCGCTCAATAGCACGACTTGATCCCTTGTTGGACTTCTGCAGAGACAGATAAGATGGCAACATATTAGGACAAAAAATGACCATGGAACGTCTATGCAGCCACATCTGGTCTCTTTGGCTGGATGAGGACCAAGGTGCAATCATCACTATATCACAGTGGACATGTTTTGGCTTGTTCAATAAAACATGCATGGAGCAAAGCAAACTGCAGGATTTAAACAATCAGAATCCATTGTGTTCTGCTCTGACTCCTGACTGGCTGCAATAGGTTACTGTGTGTTTTCGTTGTGCTAAAAGCATTGTTCCTCTCACTGTTGTATTTAATAAGCCCATTTGAATTTTATTCCTGTGTTAAATGTTGGCTTTAGTATCCCATACACAACAATAATATATGGAGGCTCTCAATATCCAAGACTTGCTTGGTCTTGAACTGTATTGTAACTGTACTGTCACCCCTTTATTATTTGATGGAGTACTCAAACTGTTGGCGATGTGTAAATGCTGCAAAATAATAAAAATATTAAACTGCACATTTAAACAATTGGGGTTCAGAAATTGGGGATACCAGCAACAGCTGAGTAATCAACCCTACTTGAAAAATTAATCAATTTGGCCATCCAAAAATCATTGCAAGTGTGCTACATTCAAAAACAACTACAACATACCTCTAACCTGAGTTTCATATAACTCCTGCCAACTAGATTCAGCTGCCTTCGAACAGGGTTTTTGGGTGGCACTATAGCCTTGAAACCTCAAACCTTGCTCCAATGCATGTGAACAGGGCTGTAGAAACTCAAAAAGCGGAGCAATAATTGAACCAATTAACACAATAGGTCTATATTTTCACAGGTACAGAATCAAGGCATCTCTGATGTGGGTATAATGGGAGATAAAAGGATAACAAATGAGTAACCAGGTGTACAAGTTGAGAGTCGGGATAAAAAAATATAGATCCACTTGGCAGGCAGGACAGGTCTCCATGATTGATCTAAAGCCAAATTCCAGCCAAAATGCAACATTATTTAATTTTTATTTTCCCAAATTAGTTGGCAAGTCAGTTTTTGTTTAACTTTCTATTGCTGTCAATGCATGCCTTAGGCCAGCTATAGATGGTTTGAATCTCGGCCAGTTCAGCAAGGAGCGGACAAAATTCAAACCATGTATGGGCCAGCTGAATGTACCCAGGTTGATCGATTGATCAACTTTAGTAAATCCAGCTGTTGGATTTTACAGGCAATTATTGCTAGTGACTAATCAGTAATCACTGTGTTCTCAGGCAGGAATGGCTCCCCCTGCCCCTCACCAGGAGAACACAATAGCTCCACAAGAAGGAGTGTTGATGGGGGAAACTAGCGACTTTCTTTCCTGTAACCCGTGGTTGCAGGAAAGAAAACCCGCTCCATCCATGGCCGGTTTTAATTGAAGAGACTTCCCATCTTTTTTTCCCCCGGAACACCAGGACAAGAAATGAGTGGGTATGGCTGTCACTGGAACAAGAAGACACAGGTTGTCATTGCCAACATTGCCAAAAATAAAATCTAGTTGCATAATTATTATGCTGATCCATTTCAAGCTGTTAGGGCTCCCGCACGCTAAAGCATGTGCCTTTTACTCCTGGCTGGAAAACACAGAATAAAAACATGCCTAAAGCAGAATTTGCACTCACATTTATGTGCATTTGGCCTTAATGCATTCTAATGGCCAGAATTTTAATTTATCTTGTTCATTAGAATGCATTAACACGCAAATACGTCTAGAATATTAATATATTCTGTTTATTAGAATGCATTAACGTGCAAATGCTTCTAAACTGGTCCAGTGTTTATGCACGTTTCACTTTTTTCTGCTCAAAAGCTCTTTTCCTGAATGTGCTGGTGATAGATTTTTTTTCAGCCTGTAAATGCTCCTCTTCTAACACACCTGAAATTGCCTATGTGTGCACAAGTACATAGACTAATAGAGATGCATTTACAGGCAGAAAAACAAATGCCAAACGCCTGTAAAAGCTGCATTTGTTAAGTCCAGTGTGCATGAGCTCTTAGAGCTACTGACCTGGAAAAAAACATGCCGCAAGCAAAGAAAGATCAATTTAGTTAAACACTATTGCAGAGAGGTCTGCAATAATTGTGGACAAAAGTGTTCATTTGTTAGCCAAGCCCATTTAAATCTGCCAGTGTATCTAACTAACACTACCTTCTCCCCAGACTGACAATGCTGCTGTCCCAAGGGTGTCTCCGTTGCTCCTTCATCCAAGGTGGAGACACCCTAAGACAGGAAGTGTATTACTGGCTGGACCACCAGGTGAATATGAAGGGAGAAAAAAAAAAAAAAAAAAGAAGAAAACCAATGCAATGTCCGTTTTCATTTTAAAACCCGCAAAGAAAAAATAAGATATGATTTCCCATTGGCTGTTTATGATATATAACAGTCCTCTTTTATGCTCTATGGCTTTCACCATAACACTTTCATCACAGGTAAAGCAATTTGGTTGCATACACTTACCTTTTCTTTTTGGATCTCACTTTTCAGAACTGAGATCTTTGCTTTCATCTCCTCAATCTCATGGTCAGGTGTAGCGTGCAGTTGAGGGATGGGCTCGGACTCCTCCACAGAGGGGAACACCAGGTCCGCCAGAGGAATGTACCACTTGCAGTCATATTGCTGGTGTTTCCTGTTCATGAAAAACACAAAGGTAAAATACATTACTATCCCAAACAAAAACAGAAACCAAACCCTTCCAACATTTTAAAGTGTCCTTTTGGAGATGTAGACTTGGGCTTAAGAGATTAGTTTAACCCCTCCATAACTGAGGGTAAAACAAACCTTAAATGCCCAGACCCAATTTTGCAACTTTGACATGTGTTACTAAAACTGTACATATGACTGCAACCACCTTGTGTATCTAGGTGGATTATACCTTGTTTTTTTGAAGACAAGTTGGGTTTTCATTCGGTGATAAACTGTAGTGCATGGGTGCCAAACTGGTGGCCCTCCAGCTGTTGCCAAACTACAAGTCCCATGAGGCATTGCAAGATTGTCAGTTACAAGCATGACTCCCAAAGGCAGAGGCAAGATAGGACTCGTAGTTTCACAACAGCTGGAGGGCCAGTTTGACACCCCTGCTGTAGTGGATATCTCCTGTTTTTTTTTTAAATTATCATAGGAAAACTGGCCCAAAATAGAAAAAAAAAATATTTTTTTTTTTTAAATGTAGCTGTATATTTCTTGCGACTATCATCACATGCCACCAAAGAAAAACCCAAAACAAATGCTCCCAACGATCGTAGGAATACCACACATTGCTATGTAGGTTACCACAGCGATCAGATGACTGGGAACCACGAGTCCCAGGTCCCCATCATTAGTGTGAGAGCCCAATCTCTATGCTGGGAGCACACTACCAGCAAAAACAAAAGAAAACATACGCACTGCCCAGGTTTAAAGCCAACCTTCTGGACACCACATAAATATGTTACGGTGTGGTTTATGGGGTTAACATTCTACTTTCAGCATGTTTTAATGTGAATTAAGTTGGCATGTTAAATCCGTTTGAGATGGTTCTGACCTCCAAAGCCACATCAAGCCACTTCTGCATTCCAGCTGACTTGCATAGGGAGAAGGGCAGCTCTGACATGAACTGGCCAAAAAATGTACAACTCTTCCTTGTAAACATGCCAAGAGTACACTGTAAACAGAATCTTACACACAATTCTTTTCCCTATATGATTGTTTTACTCTTTTTCAGAATTCTGCACAGGCCATGAGGCCAAATTAAAGGCATATGTGCTAAAAGGTGTCTTTCACTAAAATGTCATCATTGGTATGGCACTAGAAAAGACACTGCACATCTAAATGACTGCTAGGAGATATAATGCTGCTTATTACTACTACTAGAATACTGCTCGGATCAAGTTTCTTCTCTAACAAAAAAAAAATTGTCCTAGATGACGATATGGAACCATGCACATAGAGAAACACATTGGCTGTCATTAATTACCTACTTGATAAGTTATCTGGCTAACCAGAAAGAAAGATACAGAATATGAGTTTAAATTCACTGTGAATTTGTGACTGTGTACACGTTCCAGGTATGTATTAAGGATCAAGAAGAGGTTACAGAGCATGGATTACATTTTATTTGTAATCTCTCCCCTTTCTTAACCTGGCCACCTCTGTCCACAGCAGTTCACTCTCATCCTCTAACTACATGAAGAATCAAGCCCCGATCATTACAACCCTGGCACACTGACAACACCAGAAATCTCAAGAGACATTGTCATGCTCTTGAATGACTGTGGCGTGAAACCAAATCCCTGCAGGACGTCACCCTATATAAATCTGCCCTTATAAAATACTATTCCTCCCTCCATGCTGCCAAATAAACTACTACTTTGTCTCTCTTATTAATACCTTGTCATCCAGTCCTCATCTGCTCTTTGCTACCTTTAACCATCTGCTTTGTCCTCCACCTCCTTTACCCACTAACTCACTTACTGCCCAAGAGATTGCCAATGACTTCAAAGACAAGATTGATGTAATTCATGAGGACACATCCACTATACCTGGGGATATCTTCCCCACTTATTATACCTTGTCCAACAGCACAGTCAACACTTTCGTCTTTTGACGCGGCTACTACTGAAGAGATTACTAAACTGTTCTCAGATGCCCAACTAACCAATTATCCCTTGGATCCTATTCCCTCACAACTACTACGTTCACCCTCTTCATCTATCCTATGCTCTCTCTCTCACGTCTTCAATCTCTCCCTCTCTACTGGGACCTCCCCCTCCCCCTAAAGCATGCACAGATCACTTCCATACTTAAAAAGCCCTCTGGGGACCCCACCAACCTGAACAACTTAAGACCCATCTCCTTGCTCCCATTCGCCCCTAAACTTTAAGAACGCTTAGTCTACAACATACCTCACTGAAAACAATCTTCTTGACCTCTTACAACCTGGCTTTCGCTTGCAGCACAAAACTCACTAACGATTTACTAACTGCTAAAACAAATGGCCACTACTCCATACTCTTACCACTAGACGTCTCTGCAGCTTTTGATACTGTTGACCACCCGCTCCTTCTCAAACTCCACTGTCTAGGTCTCCGAGATTCAGCTCTATCCTGGTTCTCCTCTCACCTGTCACAGTGCTCCTTCAGTGTTACCTATAACTCGGTCTCCTCTTCTCCACTTTCTCTGTCGGGGTCCCCCAAGGCTTTGCTCTTGGACCCCTTCTCTTCTCTATCTACACCTCCTCTCTTGGTCTCCTGATAACCTTCTATGGCTTCAAATACCCCCTCTATGCCGATGACACCCAAATCTATCTCTCTACTTCTCACCTCACTCCTTCAGTCTTCTCTCGAATTACTAACTTACTGACATATCAGCATAGGTGTCGCTTCACTCCTTAAACTACATCTCTCTAAAACCGAGCTGATAATATTCCCTCCCCATCGTGCACTCCTACTTTTCCATCAAGAGCAATAATACAACTATCAGTCCTTCCCATCAAGCCAGGGTACTAGGTGTAATTCTAGACTCTGACCTATTGTTTTGGCCCAAATCAAATCGCTCTCAAAAGCTTGTAGACTTCACCTCCGTAACATCTCTAAAATTTGCCCCTTTGTAACCAATGAAACCACCAAGCTACTCATTCATTCCCTTATCTCTACCTATTGCAACTCTCTTCTCACAGGCCTACCTCTCCGTAGTCTATCCCCTCTTCAATCCGTCATGAATACTGCTGCCAGGATCATCTACCTTACCAATCGATCAGTATCGGCCACCCCTCTCTGCCAATCCCCCCCACTGGCTTCCGATTGCCCAGCGAATTAAGCTCAAAATACTAAACAAAAACATACCAAGCCATCCACAACTCTGCCCCAAGCTAAAACTCCAATCTTTTCTCCAAATATCACCTTAACCATCCTCTCTGCTCCTCTCATGACCTCCAGCTTTCAAGCTCCCTGGTCTCCTCTTCCTATGCTCGTCTCCAGGACTTTGCCAGAGCCTCTCTCATCCTCTGGAACTCTCTACCCCAATCTGTCCAGCTATCCCCTACTCTGGCTGCCTTTAGGCGATCCCTGAAAACTCATCACTTCAGGGAAGCCTATCATGCCTCCAAATAGACATTTATCATTTCCATCAGCTCACCCCCCACAGTTATAACCTTTTGTACCACTTGCCCCACCCTATTGGATTGTAAGCTCTTATGAGTAGGGCCCTCCTAATCCTCTTGTTTTGATTGTATTGTAGCTGTACTGTCTCCTTTTATATTGTAAAGCACTGAGCAGACTTTTGGCGCTACGGACCGACAACTCATGGGGCCCCCCGGGCAATAGGAGATAATGGGGCCCCCTGTGTCCCTACCCACACAATGCCCCACCTACATATTGCAGCTCAGCTGAATAGGGGGTATTTAAATATCTACCACAGCATAGCCTGCAAGAAAGTGCCTGGCTTGTTTCTGTAGAAGCCGATGGGCACTTCCAGGTTTAAAGATGGCTGTGGCATGGCAGTCTTCTTTATGACGCAACAAGGGGCAATTTATGAAAGCAGTGGGCCCGTGTACAAGATCATAATTTGGGCCCGGACACAACACTGAAAGAAGTGCGGTGTGCACAAAAATGGATGTGTTTTTTGAGGGCTGTAAGCAACACCTGCTGGTTACATTGTACAGTAAAGATGCCCAATAACTGAGAGGTTAATTGCCTTGGGCGGCTGTTCAGCTCCCACTCATCCTCTTTCCTGACAGGGGTGCCAACCCTCCACAACCCCTTTTTTTTTCCTGACAGACCATGGAAAATCTGCCAGGTTTTATGACAAACTCCTGTTTGAAACTAAGAGGGGAAAGAGTATACACAGTATCTCACAGAATTGAGTACACACCTCACATTTTTGTTAATATTTTATTATATCTTTTCATGTGACAACACTGAGGAAATGACACTTTGCTACAATGTTAAGTAGTGAGTGTACAGCTTGTATAACAGTGTAAATTTGCTGTCCCCTCAAAATAACTCAACACACAGCCATTAATGTCTAAACTGCTGGCAACAAAAGTGAGTACACCCCTAGAGTGACCATGTCCAAATTGTGCCCAATTAGCCATTTTCCCTCCCCGGGGTCATGTGACTCATTAGTGTTACAAGGTCTCAGGTGTGAATGGGGAGCAGGTGTGTTAAATTTGGTATTATCGCTCTCACTCTCTCATACTGGTCACTGGAAGTTCAACATGGCACCTCATGGCAAAGAACTCTCTAAGGATCTGAAAAAAAGAAATGTTTCTCTACATAAAGATGGCCTAGGCCAGGGGTGGGCAACTGTGGCCCTCCAGCTGTTGTAGAACTACAAGTCCCATGAGGCATTGCAAAGCTGACAGTTACAATCATAACTCCCAAAGGCAGAAGCAAGATGGGACTTGTCATTCACCAACAGCTGGAGGGCCACAGTTGCCCACCCCTGGCCTAGGCTATAAGAATATTGCCAAGACCCAGAAACTGAGCTGCAGCACGGTGGCCAAGACCATACAGCGGTTCAACAAGACAGGTTCCACTCAGAATAGGCCTCATCATGGTCGACGGAAGAAGTTGAGTGCACGTGATCAACGTCATATCCAGAGGTTGTCTTCGGGAAATAGACGTATGAGTGCTGCCAGCATTGCTGCAGAGGTTGAAGGGATGGGGGGTCAGCCTGTCAGTGCTCAGACCATACGTTGCACACTGCATCAAATTGGTCTGCATGGCTGTTGTTCCAGAAGGAAGCCTCTTCTAAAGATGATGCACAAGAAAGCTCACAAACAGTTTGCCGAAGACAAGCAGACTAAGGACATGGATTACTGGAACCATGTCCAGTGGTCTGATGAGACCAAGATAAACTGATTTGGTTCAAATGGTGTCAAGTGTGTTGGTTGGTGGCAACCAGGTGAGTACAAAGACAAGTGTGTCTTGCCTACAGTCAAGCATGGTGGTGGGAGTGTCATGGTCTGGGGCTGAATGACTGCTGCCTGCACTGGGGAGCTACAGTTCAGTGAGGGAACCATGAATGCCAACATATACTGTGATATACTGAAGCAGAGCCTGATCCCCTCCCTTTGGGGACTGGGCCGCGGGGCAGAATTCCAACATGATAATGACCCCAAACACACCTCCAAGACGACGACTGCCTTGCTAAAGAAGCTGAGGGTAAAGGTGATGGACTGGCTAAGCATGTCTCCAAACCTAAACCCTATTGAGCATTTGTGGGGCATCCTCAAATGGAAGGTGGAGGAGCGTAAGGTCTCTAACATCCATTTAACATCCACCAGCTCCGTGCTGTCATCATGGAGTAGTGGAAGAGGACTCCAATGCAACCTGTGAAGCTCTGGTGAATTTCATGCCCAAGGCAGTTAAGGCAGTGCTGGAAAATAATGGTGGCCACACAAAATATTGACACTTTGGTCCCAATTTGTACATTTTCACTTCAGGGTGTATTCACTTTTGTTGCCAGCGGTTTAGACATTAATGGCTGTGTGCTGAGTTATTTTGAGGGGACAGCAAATTTACACTGTTATACAAGCTGTACACTCACTACTTTACATTGTAGCAAAGTGTCATTTCTTCAGTGTTGTCACATGAAAAGATATATTAAAATATTTACACAAATGTGAGGGGTGTACTCACTTCTGTGAGATACCGTAAGTCAATGGGACATTACGTTTACCATTTTCTCTGAAACGTACAGCAATATGTGTGATGATTTCCTTTATATAGAGGGTGTGATAAATATACACACAGAGAAAACAAATGCAGTTTAACGACGGTATAATTGATGAAAGAAAATCAAATGAGAATTTGGGAGTCAAATCATCAACATCTCTAATTTTTCACCTACCCAACAGCTGCCTTCTTAAGCTTGGCACAAAGCAGGAGGTCTGTAAATAGGAAGAGGTGACGCAGCTTGCGGGAATTTTCTGAGAGTTCCACCAAGAACCCATCTTTAATTAGCTGCCGGGTCTGCAAATTAGAGAACATTTCATTTAACCATTTCAGTTTTACCAGTAAAGCAAAGCAGACATTAACAGATCTCTGATATACTTCGGCAAAAGATAAAAAAAACCCCCCTATTTTTGCATATACAGTACCTGCTTTGAGTTCTATTTCATTGCAAGCATTATGCATTTTTGTTCTTGTCCTTATATTCACTGGTTCCTGAAACACCAGCAATACCAAAATGTAACTCTAAATCACAAAGGTTGGCTACAGACGGTCCAATAACTACAAGTGATGCATTTGGTTTCGAGTATGCTTTCTAATAATCAGGACATTTAAATTCTTTAAATACACCCATCTCCTAACTGAATGACTACCACAGATCACTTACTACTAATGCCATGCACCGATTCATATAAAATGATGTTGTCCGTTATAGGATTCATTTTGTGAGGTAGCACATGGTATTAATTGGCAGTAGGTTTTTTTTGGACAGAAAAGTACATAAACTGTGTGACTCCAGCCCATATTTTACATAGATTCTTCAAGATTCTTGAAAAATTTTGCTGAAAGTAATGCCAAATCGTTATTCATCTATGAAAATCAGTGAAGCATCTAAAGTGGCATATCATGGGGTTAAGCCAGTGTCAAGCAATGATCACGTCCAGTCTCAGAGTTCAACTTACTCAATTAAGGACGATCAGATATCTTACCATCTATGGCCAGCCTAACTAAGAAATGCTATGAAGAAAAACATATAATAAAAGCAAAAAAGTTGCCATGGGCTTAAATGTGCCATGTTCCCCCTGTCATAACCATTCCACCTCCCAGCAGTACTGTGATCTATTGGCTGCTAAACATGGAGGTGACTACACATAGTATTACATTACCATGACAATCTGGGAAACGAAGGTATGAGGAAAAAATTTGTATTCTATCAAAGATCAACTTCATTCGTTCTACAGTAAAGGACATTTCTCACCTCCCCCTTAGGTGTTGTGACAGCAGTTCTCCTGGGATCGATGTCCTCGTTGATACTAGAGAGGAAATTCTGGGAGATACGGAGAGCATCTTGTAGCAAAGGATAGTCCGGGTGATCAGCAGGCGTATGTTTAAGAAGATCCTGGAAGATTAATATTATAAATAAATATATTACTTTTTGGGCTCATCTGACAATTAACAACCAAGTAAAACAGTATATCACTAATTCTTCAGGGGACTGTATAAGTGACAGTTAAGTCTCACTTGCAGCTTTCTAATGTAGTATTCAAATTTTTTGTTAGATTTAACCACAAACTTAATGTATTTGGTAGCAGAGACACATCAACTGACACTTCTTAAGGGAACATCAATAGGTAGGGTAAGAAAAAATGTCCGGTTTGCCCACCTTGCAAATTTAAAGGATAAGTTCACCTTTCATAACATGTTATACCCATATTCAGGATGTAACATGTTATGAATGCACCAGCTCAGCTCCCCTGCTTTGACAGCTAGCAGGGGATCTTCTCCCACCTTGCTAGCAGTCAAATTAAAAAGCAAAAAAAAAAACAAAAACAAAAAAAAACACCTGCCCAGCCAGCCGCGTCACTCATTCACTGTTTTCTGTGAATGAGAAACTACAAGTGCTGACACCCTTAGCGGCTGTCGGCTTGTAGTTCCCAATAAAATACCACGGCGTTGTGGAGCGCCATGGTAGTTCATTGAGTCTTCCTGTTAGTATATCCGCTTGTTTGTACAGGCGAGCAGAAATACTGACAGATCTGCAGGAGACCTGCATTGCACCAGCGATCTACTGATCGCTGGTACAACACTTTAGAGCACAGGTGTCAAACTGGCGGCCCTCCAGCTGTTGTGGAACTACAAGTCCCATTAGGCATTGAAAAGCTGACCATTACAAACACGACTCCCACAGGCAGACGCATGATGGGACTTATGGTTCCACAACAGCTGGAGGGCCATCAATTTGACACCCCTGCTTTAAAGTCTTCTGCAACAAAAATACAATAAATGCACTTGCTCAGTAGATTAACTGCCCACTGGGAAGGCTGAAAGGGCCCGCTGGCATATCTTTAGGAAGCCTCTGACTACCTGTACACAGGTCCAAGAGTTTGCAATGAATTATAAATGTAGTCTGAACTCAGTAACCCCATTAAAGGACATGAAACTCTGGCAAGCCCTATTTTACCAAGAATGTCTTGTATAAAAAACCACTAGGAAGGATATAGTGCTACAGTTAAAACAAAGCCGAAACTCAATTTATTCAGACAAATTTGAGAACCGAAATTCAGCCCCTTCCCCTACAGTTATAGGTTCTGGTTTATTCTCAGGATGGCTATTATCCTTCACCCAGATCTGCAGTTGAAGTTAGGTTTGTGTGTATACTAGCTTTGTCATTTACGTTGATTACTAAATATGTGGGGGCATTGTTATATACATTAGTCATCATGCTGGAGAAGACACTTCAATAAGCCATTATATTAACTATGCTAAACAAAACACATTCAGAACAGATTTGGAAATTAGTATGGCTTCATTTACACATTAATGCTATTTAAACCTGTGTACAAATGTGGAAGGTTTTAAGAACCTATACATTCAACAGATCATTTCAAATGGAATGATCTTTTATTGCCTTTCTGTGCTCTATCATTATAAGTGCGTAACCTTTCTCCTTTCTGTAACACCCATGCTAACACTAGGGGGAGATATCCTGCTATGCATGCTTAAAATCGACATAACCAGAGCCATGTGACTAGTAACAATTATTATTATACAGGATTTATATAGCGCCAACAGTTTGCTCTGCGCTTTACAATATAACGGGAGACAATACAGCAACAATACAGTTCAATACAAGAGGGATAGGAGGGCCCTGCTCCTTGGAGCTTACAATCTAGGAGAACAATGAAGTATATTGACAGAACATCCTGACTAAATAGATTCATTTCATCTATGACATGGCCAAACCAGGTTTGAGGTAGAACCCCACAAATAGGCCATAAAGCCATTCAAAATCTTTGGTTGGCATTTCTCTTATGATTACTGTTTCCAGATTGGATCTAGGTCATGTATTGTTACAGAAACTAGTACTGTATGATAGTTTCATTTGATAGGACAGAGTATCTCTAAATTAACTGTAAACAGTTGAACATGGATTTTGTATAAATATATAACCAACAATAGAACTAATCCAGAAATGAATGTTATGTTGTAAAACTGGAGGCGGTATTCCCAAAGCATCCACAGGGCTATACCATACGGCATTATTGGGCAGTGACTAGGGTAGCGAGGAAAGAGCGGCAGTACCAAGCCTCAACATTTACAGTGATAACGTTGTCAATATTTTATCTCTTCTATCCACCTACAGATGTTAGTAGCTAGATTTTTATCAACTGTATCTAAAGTATGCTCAGTGTATCTATGTGTAGTAGTGTGTTGTGTTTTATCGCAATGCACATCAAAACAGTGTGTTGATGTCAACAGGCTCTATATAAAGCAAGGCTTTTTATGTTTGTCTTTGTGTAGGGCAAAGGTGTCCAACTGGGCTGATGTTAACAAACCCTTAGGCCTTGTTCACAAGGGGTGATATGATCCATGCCCCATGCAGGGCCATGTTTACCGGTACAGGGATGTAAAGGTGTCCCATGCATCTCCATGTAGGCATGTTCATTCATGCCTATTGGGAAGCAGCGGCTGCACAGATACAGTCACTGCTCCCAATACGATATCTGTGTGACTGCTTGTCTTTGAACCCACTCTGGGGTGTGTTCAGGGCTGTGCACCTGTATCTGCACTATGTCACATTGGGAGCAATGGCAGTGTCTGTATAGCTGCTGTGTGACAATAGACAGCTATGGGACTGCCAGCACATAGATGCACACAAAACCAGTGCATCCCTGTTCTTGTAAACCACAAACCTGCATGGAGAATCGATCAAATCGCCCGGTGTGAATGAGACCTTATAGTTGGGAAACATGCAACCATCTCATATTTTTCTTGCTTGGCGGTTTGTACAGTTGAAAAGTAGTCCATATAAAGCAGATTACACGCACTCTCCAAAAAAGCACTCAAGCAGTAGTTTTTTTATAAAATAAACAGATGACACAAGGAGTTTAGAATCATCACACAGGTATGCATGATATTTAAAGGATACGTTCACCTTTTACAATATGCTACACGTGTATTTATGGTGCAACATGTTACGGTTGCAGAAGCCCAGGGGCCCCTCTGATCGCCCGTTGTGGCAGTGGGCTGGGGATTCTCTCCCCGCACCTGCTGTCACAATTTAAAACAGAGTTCTGTGAATGGGAGAACTACAACTACCATCAGTCATTTCAGCTGATGGCTTGTAGCTTTCAATGAACCACCAGGTTGCTAATGAGCGCTCTAGGTAGTTCATTGGTGCTTCCTGTCATTCAGTAACTGCTTGCCCGTATGAGGAATGAGCAGAGAGATACAGACAGTCTGCAGGAACCTGAGATTACACCCATGATCTGCTTATCGTGGGTGCCATGCTTTACTAGCTCCCAGTAAAAAAAATAAATACACATTTTTTTTACCTGCAAAAAGATGTGCATTTATTATTTTTTTTTTATACAAAGATGAACGTATCTTTTAAATAAAGCCCTGAAAACAGACCTACTCTAGGAAACAAGAAAAAAAAAAACACACACTGCATAGCACTGCCTCATTATTAATAGTGTGAAGTATAGAATGAATTAGTCATGTTACAATAATTAAACAATAATTTGAATTAACTTTTCTTATTATTAAATATTAATATTTAGATTGAACTTGTGTTATGTTATAATTAAATATTCATTTGTAGACTTAAATTGTCTTATTTATTTAATTACATATTTACATTTAATTATTGTACTTGTAATATTTATTTAGATTAATAATATCCAACATGTCTTGACCTTATAAAGTGCACCAACAATTAGGTAATTTCCTGATAGCATCAAACCAGTCATGCTGTGACTCATGCATATCATAGTGAAGATTGGTATGAAAATATATTGCTACTCACATGCAGAACCAAAGTACTTCGGGTCACACGATCGATAGGCTTGTACAGCAGAGCTATAATGACAAACAAAAAGTGGTATTAGCATTAGATACAGCAAGTTCACACCCAGGCAGGGTGGACTGTTCACACAATGACAAAGCCAAGGGTGACATTCAAGACACAGTGTTATATTCAGCGGCTTACTAATGTTATGTGACCAGAGCACAGAATACGTCATCAGCTCCTCTACATATAACAAGATGATATTGAAGGACACAACACAGAAGATTTATTTCTTTAGTACAAGGTTTTGTTTATCCCTTTTACAGATGTCAGAATAAGGACATCAGAATACAAAAAAAGCCCTCAATACAAGTATAAGCTCAATTAGCGCCATAATTATACAACAACCTCACTACTGCACCTTGCTTAAAGTGGAACTCCAGACAATTTTTTGTGTAGGTTTTACATAGGCTAAGGAAGCATTAGAACAACCTTCAGGTTTCTGGATAGGGGAGATTTCTCCTCATTCCCTGAGTGGTCACTGGCACATGAAATGAATGAGGCTTCTCCCATGGAGACAGACAGCAAAAAAACAGTTTCCAGTAAAAAGGGGAAGGGGCAGATTTTAAAGTGTCTGTCAGGAAAATTGCCCTTGCTTCCTGTGTACTAAAAGGGAGAGGCATTAAGCTAAATCACCCTTAGGGAGGGCAACAAACAGTAATTCTAAATCTCTTATATCCTTTTTGTAAAGTGTAAAGAGTGCATGCACACTCCCTATGACTACGTGCATTTAGCACGAAACGTGTCAGGGTAAGAGCTGTGAAGTCCAGACGTCACGCTGCCGAGTCCTATGCGGGCCGGCGGCCATCTTTTACACATCTCATGGTCAGTTATTTTGTTTTTATCATGTCTTATTTTTGGATCAATAAATACTCCTTTTAAACGGTACTACACTATCTTGGCATCCTTTCTTGGGACATCCTTTCTTGAGTCCACCACCCACAGAGCCACCAGGGAAGGTAACTGAGAGGTGCTATATCGGATGATCCAAAGGGAACCCCAGATGGTCAAAGGTGCCCAGAGGGAAGCCTAAAGATGCTAGACAAGTCCTTAAGAAGATTCCATTTGAGACCTTGAGATGGGATATATCTTCTGAATGCATATTTGAATTATGCATCTGGTGAGTGTATAATTTGAATATTTTAATCACCAGATACACGAAGGATCACCATTCAATATATAGACTTTGGCACTTTATTCTGGCACTTAGCAGTCTCCTATGTATGTCTATTATTGTGGTTTATCCATTTGATATCATTCCTTCAATGATTTAATGATTTTATGCATATATCCATCCTCAAGTACAAGATGAGGCAATGGTGAAAATGGAAGCCTCACTCGGAGTGATATTTCTGTTAGTAAGCAAATAGAAGAAATCTAACTCCTTTCATATTATTGATTTAAATGGGCAGCTATGCGCAGGGCACAAATATAAATGACAGGAATGCAAAATATATCTTTATACAAATGTGTATATATCTTTATACAAATATAATATATATCTTTATACAAATGTGGGAGCTTTCACATACACATTTTTGGATGGTACTAGTGGAGCCATTACATTTTGTGTGTTTGGTTAGGCAGTACTTTAAAGTGTAACTCTCGTCACTAGATTGCCTGTTCAAGTCACCAGTTGGGAAAAAAGGGAAATCCCAACAGAGCGCCAGCAGAAGTTGCAACCATTTCCCACTCTATCCAAAATGAAAAAAGGCTTTGGCAGAAAATGACCTTTAAACTGAACCCGTGATGTCCTGCAAAGTGTGTAAAAGAACAGCAAAGTGTTGTTGTGTTTATATCAAGATCCTATATGTCTAGATAGGACTCTAAGGCTCAGATTTAAAAAGATCCTCTGCTTGTGCCCAGGACCAGGCTAACCCTCCAAATCCCATCCCAGAGATCTTTTTGGCTCTGGCACTGCGGTATTAAATACCAGTAGAGGGGCTTGGCATACACTTTGAGCTCAGGCATGTCCATACTAGGATCCGAACCCAAATGTGCAAACCCACCAGGAAGTTGTCACCTGCATGGGCCAATCATCTAAAAATGAGGCATTCCCACATTTATACAAGGGGCGTTTATATGGCTCCCAGACAGCAGATGATTGGTCATTACAGGCGAAGGCTTCTTGGCGGGCCTGCACATATGGGTTTGGATCCTAGTCGAAGTTCATCACTGGTATACTGCTAGGGCCTGGGATCCAGGTCACCCCCATCCCAGGCACATAGAAATTAATTTTAGGACAAAAGTGTGATATCTGATTAACACTGTAGGATATCGGATTAACACTAAATGAAAGCATACCACCAAGCCATCCCAATTTCTGAGAGACTGTCAAGGGATTTTAAACAAAATCCCAAGGTCCCTTGGACCCACCTCGTGTACTGGGGCCCAGGTACTGGAACAGATCTTCAATCAGTTTGGTGCCCAGGGGAGCGAGGAAATCTATCCCCACTTCCTTTATCTGTTCACACAAGAGTAGACTGAGACAGAGGCTGAATTGTTCCTCAGCTACAGAATACGTAAACATTTGATTGTCCGTATCCTGGCCACAGTTCTGCATTAAAAGGACAGACAACCCACGCAATGATCTTTGTGAAGTGAATTTTATAACTAAAACACCTAAAAAATCAATTAAATAATGCAAGGGTGGTAAATTCAGCTGATCCATGCAGTTGTGTCTTTAGTAAACCATAAAATCCAGGATTAATTGTACAGCAACTCAGAGTAGCCAATCAAATTTCATCCTGATTAAGTCATACCAGTATTTTTATTTAATAAGGACACTTATGTTAGTTTACAGTCCACCTGTAAGTTTCCGTCCAACTGCTTTCCGATCTGACAAACGGAAGGGGAACAGATGTCCATCCGTCGATTTTTGGCAGATCGGATTGGATGTTGTTGGGTGTAAACAGACATGTCCATTTATACCCGCCACGCCATAGAGGAGAACAGAGGTTCCGATTGGATCTGCCCAAGAAACGGGCAGGCGGACCCGATCAGAGTGTCCATGAGAAAGGGGCCTTATTCCATTATTTTCTTCTCCAGCTAATCCTGTCAAAGATGTTTTTATAATCCTTCATATACAGTAGTTCAAATGGGACAAAGGTCCTATAGCCTCATGTCAGGGAGTGTATTATAATGTAGAATGGTCAATGTGCAGGTATAATTGAGCTGCCAAGCACCTGAGATAGTTACAGTCAACAAAAATGTTAAATTAGCTGTAGAATTGTGTTCACAATACTGATCCTACATAGCTTTTAAATGTGAATTAGGTTTTATGTTGACAGATATTTAGGATGTCATCTGCGCCCCAAAAACATTTGACTTTACTTGTGCAGCCAGAGCCCCCCACTTCTGTGCTTATAAGGTTAGCCGAAGCTACAAATAGTGGTCCCTTTGTGTGCACGTGCATGTGGCTATTTACCAGAGTCCAGAATACCAAAACGTTTCTGTTTAGATATTATGTAGCAGTAAGCAGCCTGGCCGCTGTCAGATGCAGGCAGGACTCAGATGGCCATGTATATATAGTTAGATCCATGTATATTTGGACACAGGCACAATTTTCATACTTTTGGCTCTGTATGCCACCAGAATAAATTAAAATGAAACAATCCAAATGAATTTGAAGTGCAGACTTTCAGCTTTAATTCAAGGGGTTGAACATAAATATCAAGTACAAATTTTAGGAACTGCAACCATTTTTATACACAGTCCCTCCATTTTCAGGGGCTCATATGTAATTGGACAAATGAATAAAATCATAAAAATAAAATGTTCATTTTTAATATTTTGTTGAGAATCATTTACTGGCAATGACTGCCTGAAGTCTGGAATCCATGGACATTACCAAAGACTGGGTTTCCTCCTTTCTGATGCTTTCCCAGGCTCTAACTGCAGCTGTCTTCAGTTGTTCTTTGTGGGTCTTTCTGCCTTTAATTTTGCCTTCAGCAAGTGAAACGCATGCTTGATTGGGTTGAGATCAGGTGACTGACTCGGTCATTGCAGAATATTCCACTTCTTTTCCTTCAAAAGCTCCTGGGTTGCTTTTGCAGTGTGTTTTGGATCATTGTCCATCTGTACTGTGAAGCACCATCCAATCAACTTTGCTGCATTTGGCTTAATCTGGGCTGACAGTATATCTCTAAACACTGCAGAATTCATCCGGCTGCTTCTGTCTTCTGTCACATCATCAATAAACACCAATGACCCAGTGCCACTGGAAGCCATGCATGCCCATGCCATCACACTGCCTCCACAATGTTTTACAGATGACTTTGTGTGCTTTGGATCATGAGCTGTTCCAAGACTTCTCCACACTTTTTTCTTCCTGTCATTCTGGTACAGATTAATCTTAGTTTCATCCATCCAAAGAATGCTTTTCCAGAACTGGTCTGGTTTTTTTAGATGTTTTTTGGCTTTCCTATTCTTCAGGTTTATGATTGGTTTACACCTTGTGGTGAACCCCCTGTATTGGAAGTCTTCTCTTGATTGTAGACTTTGACAATGATACGCCCACCTCCTGGAGAGTGTCCTTCACTTGTCTGGATGTTGTGAATGGGTTTTTCTTTACCATAGAGTGGATTCTGCGATCATCCACCACTGTTGTCTTCCATGGACGTCCATGCCTTTTTATGTTGCTGAGCTCACCAGTGCGTCGTTCTTTCCTCAGAATGTACCAAACTGTTGATTTGGCCACTCCTAATGTTGATGCCATCTCTCTGATGGATTTGTTTAGTTTTTGCAGCCTTATAATGGCCTCTTTCACTTGCATGGACAGCTCCTTTGAAGGCATGATGTAGGTTCACAGCAACAGATTCCAAATGCAGATACCACACTTTAAAATCAACTCCAGATCTTTTACCTGCTTAATTGATGAAGTAATAATGAAGGAGTAGCCCACACCTGGCCATAAAACAGCTTTTGATTCAATTGTCCAATTACTTTTGGTCCCTTGAAAAAGGGGGGATGGCAATTCTTAAGAGCTGTAATTCCTAAACCCTTCCTCCAATTTGGATGTACATACCCTCAAATTAAACCTGAGAGT